TCATGAGTTATTAAAAAATGTTTGCTTATTTAATGTTATAAAAAGAAAATCTGGGATATTGGTGGTGAGGTGAGGGTTGTATAATAATAATTATTATTAATAATAATTATTGTTATTATTATTGTTATAAAAAAAAAAAGCTGCTTTCTTAGTCCTGAAATGAGTATATCTAATTTTTGCTTTGTCTGTATATGCTGATCATTTTGGATATTGATTGATTGATTTTTCTATGGTTTAGCAACCCTTTGCAGGTTATTTAAAATATTTTTACATTGTGAGATTTTTAGATAATAACTGTCTAGTCAAACAAGTCTTACTAATTAACACTTAGTTGGTGGAGGGGGAGAAGAGGTGGTTTCATGCCTTTCCCCAGGGATATTTGCATGTGAGTGAATATAATGAACCCAATGGGAATTGGAACTCCACTTGCTGATTAACAATTCCGAGCCATTCTTATATCACCTGTACCTGGTATTTCCAAGCAGTCACCCATCTAGGTACTGACTAGGCTCAATGTTGTTTAACTCACTCTGACATCATTTTAAACTTCTATGCCAAACTAAAAAGATAAAAATTCAGTATCTTTAAGTATGTCAACTGTGTTGTTCTTTGCATAATTCTATTCAATCTTTTAACTCCAACCTGCTCTTCTCTTTACATCAAATACATAAAATGTGAATCTTTGCTTTCATAATAGCATCATTTACATCTTTTAGTCTTATTTCTTCTTCAGCTGTTTTCATTTATCTACTTAATCACTTGAAATCAAAAATGCCAACAACCTAAAAGCTTGGTGGCATACAAATGTATAATCTTTGTTATAAAAACAATTTGTTTTTATATCAAACATTTATTCATATTGGTAATTAGTATCTATTTGGAAAAAATGGCTTTCAGCTTTGTAATACAAATGCATGTAATGTCATAATTTTGTAATTTTTTTTTTTTTTTTCTTGCATTGTTAATTTGTATTTCCCATCTTCAATTTCTGCTGAGCTTTTGCATTCAATTTTCCTATGCTAGTGTTCTGCTAAGGCTAGAGAGCTTAGTCTACCTAGTTTTAAGTTGTAACTGGGGAGGTGGATTCATACTTTTCCCCAACAGCATTTTTCATGCTGACTGTTGTCATTGGTTTTTACATTATCTAAAACATAGCTGTCAACTGGATGTTTACTCAAAAGTTGAGGAAGAGAATGCTATTCAATTTTCCTTGCAATTTTTTAACATAATTTTCAAAGGTACCTAAAACCCATATTTGCTATATATTTAAATTTATTAAAGTTCTGCACCCTCACACATTCTTTTTGTGAATATAAACTTTTTGTAACTTCAAAATCTTAAAATTCTACCATATTTTCTTAGTTTATATTCTGTGTGCATTTTTATTTTTCAAAATAAAAAATACATTTGGAATTCTCTATAATTTTAAAGAGTACAGCATAGTGCTGTAATATCTTGCAGAGCAAAACACACCTCTTCCAACAAATCAGAGAATAAATTCTGGCTTAAATATTTGGCAGTTAAATGTTTTGTATGTTCTGCTAATTGCCCCTTTCTTTTCTTTTTTTTTTTTTTCTTTTTCCCTTTATAAACTTCAAATGCCTTAGTAAATAACATGTAGCCAGGTTTATTTATATTGTTGGAAAACACTTTACTTAAAATATTATCATCTTGTAGTTATTTAAGCTCCTAATGTGTTAAAATATCTAAACCAGAATCCTCATCTCTGTTGTGATAATAACAACAAAGATGAGGACATTATCCCGGATGTAAATGATAACTCCACATCTCGGAAATTATCCAAACTGAAGATTTTCATCTTAATGGTATCTTATTTCCTATTCGATAGGTTTTCAATATTCATGTTTATTTCTGGAAGATGTCTGTTAAAGATTAGTCTGCTTGCAAATCACCATCCCATTGGTCAGATTCAATGAACAAACTCCAAATATGTAAAAAGTGATGTAGGGTTCAGAAGATTCTGATAAAAAGATAGTCATAATGTTAACATAAGTAGCTTGTCTGATTTATGGGATTTTACTAGTATTGTGGGGGAAAGATGATACACCTTATGAAATGGTAAGGAATTATTAAAGGAATTCAACAATTTCTTTATTCTTTATAGCTTCGAATTTATACATGAAAAGACAAAACCTTTTTATTCTTCTAAATACTATGTCTCTTCAGGACACTGGTGATCATGGCTCTCCACAATGTCCTGTCCTTTGTAGCTCTTAACAGTGTTTGTCTTGTTGCTATCTCTCTTAATCCCTGGTCTGCCAACCATTTTACACAGACTCATTATGTATGAAATTTTCTACTTTCCTATCTCCCTTTTGCCATCAACATTTCCTGGATAAAGTTGTTTCAGCCATGTTTCCTCAGTATGTGCCCTGGAAATGTCCATTATCTCTTTCTGGGGTTAAGTTTTAAGTGTTCTTTTTGTGTCCATCTTCTGAAAACTTTTTTGTTACTCACATGTTCAAACCATGGATGATCTCAGCATTCTTCTCAAGATCATTATCTTTTTGCCTCTAGTTTCTTCATTTGGGATATCATTGTCCAGCATTCACTGTCATGTAAGAGGACTGATATTACATAAGTTCAGTAATGTTTTTCTTTGTTTCTAATGAAATTTTCCTATTAATACTTTGCTTAGCTTTTGGAAAGCACTTTTCACTATCCCAATGCGCTTTTGGATTTTGGTGTCACATTTTCCATCCTGTAAAAACACTTCCTATATATTCAAATGGTTGTATCTGGGATTTTGGTATCTCCAATTTGTAATTTTCATGTTGGCTGACAACCATACATTTTATCTTGTTGATGTTTAGTCCTTTCTTCTTGCTTTCCTTTACTACCTTCTCTAGGAGTTCCTGTTGTTTCCTTACTGTGTCAGTTATCAACACTCATCAGCATTGTGACCATCAATAATGAATCCTGGTAGGACTTCTAATTGTCTTGGGATTGCTTTACTGTAAAGGTTGGATAAGTCTGATGAGAAGACCCAGCCTTGTCTTACGATCCCTCCTTTCTATTTTTTGTAGAAACTATCTAAAGCCGCCAGCATCTCTATTACAATTCTGTATGGTCCTAGTGCTTTGTTTTTGTCCAATTTGACCAGTGCTGATATCCTTTGGTCCTGATGGCCCTTCGATATTTCTGTGTATTGCAGGTCATCCTTTTGCATCATAGAATTTGTTTTCAAATGTATTCGTTCCAGGTATTTTTCTTTCTCTCTTATAAGTGTTTTGTCCTTGGATTTTATGCATCCTGTATAGATAAAGTAAAAATGACTTCTGTTTTGTCTATCTTCATCACAAAAGCAATCTTTCACATTGTTGATTTGTATTCAGTTATTAATTGATTGATTAATGAGAATAATCTTTCTTTTAATAGAACACAGTCCAAGACAAGATAAATATTGCTGATAGTTATCTGCTTTCTCTGAAGGCATGTCTGACACAAGATCCATTTAAAGGAGACCTATCATTCACATATGTGGGCAGGGAGGAGAAAAATTATTCAATTTCCTTGGCATCAGGGACTGATCCAACTCCATTAAGGTGCAAGGATGAAGTGTAGCCTGGGAGTGAGGAGCAGTCCCCTGGAACTACACCTTGAACTTCTCTATCTCTCTTCTCCTCCCCTCTCGACACTTCTGCGCTAGAAGGAAACGCAGAGTCATTGTTACTTATCTTGAAAAGCATAAAATTTTCTTTTTGGATTTAATGGTTCAATTTTATTTTTTTTTTTAAGATCAACTATTCCCAACTTGAATATAATTGGATAAATGGCTAAAATTTGAGCTTCATTTGGTTAGCATAGAAAATAGTTGGCAAGCTGCAGTCACTTTTAGCTTTTGTTTTCACAATGAAATATTAGATTCAACTGAGTCGAGTTTCTTTTGTTGAACTCTCTCTCATACACACACACACACACACAGGCTTTTAAAGAACAGGAGGATTGAGGTGTTACTTGAATCTCTCTCACACACACATTTATGTATTTTATGTTGTAAAATGTGGCTATTTCATTATCATGGCAGTTTTCTTAAATTCTGCTTGAAATTTCTTTGTTTTAATGTTCTATACATTTAAAACCAAAACCACCTTTTTAAATGAATTTTGTTATATTTAACTTGTAGAAAGTCTTTTCTTTCTTAATTTATTTTTACTTGTTTTATTTTTCATTAAGTGGGGAAGTGACATGAATAGAAACATTGTTGAAATGGATGGAGTTTTACTTTCCTTTGTCTGGGGGGGGGGGTCAGTATTCTTAAGCCTTTAGCATTATTGTTCATGGTATAGGTTTAATAGTAAACTCTTAGGAAAAAAAAAATGTAGTAAAGATGGTTCAGAATACTCTTGCATAATAGCAATTCACTTAAATGCTTTATTCAGTATTACTCACTAACTACAATTGTTTTTAATGAACTGTGAGCATCTCTTTTTAGAGTCTGAAATGTGTGCAATATGTCGGAAATAAGCTAAAGAATTTCTTTCTCAAATTTTAACTTTTTAGAAAAACTTTAAATATTTCAAATATTAGAACTTATTTTACGCTTTACCTTTTAATCAATACAAAGAAAACTTTATTATTCTTCCGTTCTTCATTTTGATCTGTTTAATAGACCATAGATTTTCTTAGATCTTTTTTGTGACAATACTAAACACTTCAAGGAATAAATTGAAATGCTATTATGTACAAGCAATGATAAATATGAAGTAATGTGTACAAAGTTAATTTGTAGCCATCAAAAGACTTTTTTTCTTTCCAGGCTTTAATTATTCCTGTTGCTTTCATTATTTCAAATTTTAAATTCTTGTCAAAAGACTAAAAAATTTGTTTACTGATTCTGTATATTTTCTGTTTAATAAACTTTTATTGCCTATTGGATTAAATACTGGAAATTTTGATAAAGCTAAACCTTTAAAATGCACAATGTCCTGTGCTGCTTGCTGATTTAACTAATTTTTTTTTTTTTTTTGTATTTACAGTTGTGTTCTTAGGTTTCCTAGCACCAACATCAAAATAGTTTTCCAATCAATGTTAAATGATGATGAAAGTTCCCCTCCTAGTCCTAAAAAGAAGAATCTACCTCCACTGAAGCTCAACATTCCTGAAGTTGGAGATGGCATTTTCAACAGTCCATGTCCTTCCCCTACAGGAACGATTAGGTAAGTATGAATATTTTTACATTCCAATTTGATTAATACTGTTTTCTCATGCACAATAATGGTCTGCTTTCCTGTGTACAATATAATAGCTAATGAAATTGACTACAGAACATAACTATTTACTTTGACTGTTAGTATCACTGAAGGTTTTGATTCTGGCAAGTGTTATATCTATCTCCTCTCACAAGATAAATCTATTCATCCTTTTAGGCATTCTCTGCCACCCAAATATCTTTTAATTTTACTCTTATCAGAAACTTATTTCTGTCATGTTAATTTGTATGTTATCTTTCATGTCAAGAGAACATTCTGGCTATTATATTGATAGTGAATGCAATAAGTCAAAATCTTGTTTAAAATTAATCCTACAACAGAATACTGCTGTAAATGGCTTACTCACACTTGTCTTTTTTCGTAATTATCTAAGTTTTTTTTTGTTTTTTTTTTTCTAGGTTCAAATATTGCTTTCTGTAAAGAGTTATGATTTGAACTCAAGTTTCTGATATGCTTTGAAATCTTAAGTCTTTTAGTCGCAATGAATATATGACATTTCATTTTTTTTTTTTTTTTTTTTTTTTTTTTTTTGTATGAAATTTAAGTTAAAAATTAAAACACACACAAGTACTTAAAATATTGAAAGTATCCTAAGCAAAATAGCTTAGGATACTTTCAATATTTTAAGTACTTGTGTGTGTTTTAATTTTTAACTTAAATTTCATACAAAAAATATATTCCCATTGAACTTGTAAAGATTATTCACTATCATAATTCCCACTTTCTATCTGCAAAATGCTAATATAAGACATCAGGTGGTAAATGTATTAAAATCTGTTTTTTACATTTTATCTTCAGTGGATTGAAAGAGTTAAAATTTACTGTTTCTTGTTCCTGTTTAATTATCTTCAATGTTGATTGTTGTAAGATGAAACTTGTTTTGTGAGATTCTAATGTTATTCTATAGATATTTAGATCATTGTATCAGGTGACTTGATAATTTTGAAAATTACAGCCAAAACAAATGTGCAAATATATTTTATTTAAACACTTGGTCAGTAAATTACTTAGTAAGCATCTTTACACTAACTTTATTTTAATTTGAGAGTTTAAGAAACTAGCTTACAAAATACTGTATATTAGGAGTCATGCAAACAGATCTTTATATTTCAAAATGAATTTGCATTTTAATAAGTGATTGCTTTCTTTTTGTCGTGTGTAACTAGTGCATAATTTTATTCTTGTTATACAGTGCTGCAAATTCTTGCCCCAATAGTCCTCGAGGTGGTTCCAGTCACCGTACACTGGTACCTGACCTTGGGGAAGCAGTTTATGCTGCACATGTTGGAGGTGACAACAATGGCCAACAGATCTCCGGTGAAAACTCCAAGGATGAGTCCAAACCTCCATACTCTTATGCCCAGCTTATTGTCCAGGCGATATCTTCGGCCACAGATAAACAGCTCACATTGAGTGGAATTTATGCTTACATTACTAAAAATTACCCCTACTATAGGACAGCTGATAAAGGATGGCAGGTAAGACACTGTGTGTGTGTGTGTGTGTGTGTCTCTCTCTCTCTCTCATTCACTCACTCACAACACCAACCAAAAAGACCTGACTTTTTTTATTTTATTTTTTTTTATCTTTTTGGTTATAAATTTCTTAATGCTCAATTAATTCATAGTCTCTAAAAATGTGAGATAAAAAAAGCAATCATTCAGATTGATGGTTCCTCCACCTAATTATCAACATGGATAATAATCTATATACAAAGATGAAATAGAAAAATGGTTTGTCAAGAATGAATCTCTTAGCAGATTTTAATTTAACCTCTCATTTTTCTTCTTTCGCAATCTTAAGAAATTAGAGAAATTAATATTTTAAGTAAAGTCAATGACTTAAATTTATTTTTCTTCTCCAAATTTACTGTTGAATTGTACAGTGTGTTCTAAAAGTCATGTAACAATTGGCAGAAAATGTACACTTGTGAAATAGCAATCAGGGAAAATTTCCATAACTTGGCTAATAAAATGTCTTAATATATTATCACATAGAAAAACATGATTCCATTTGGTAAATAAATATAAAATTTACAAGGTAATGTGACATTTGGAACATCCTGTACATAAATTAACTCCTGCAAATAAATATGGAGAATGAATCTTTGTGCTAAGTTTCAGTTCCCAAAGCCAAAATACATCCACTTGTGCCAGTAGCTGATGTTGTATAAATAACTATTATTGCTGGCATTGTAATTTTTTTTTTTATTTCTGATTTGTCATATAATTGAGGGTTTCTGTAGGATTGGTCCGATATGACTGCAAGAAAAATACCTTAAATATTTTTGTTATTTAATTGTATTTCCTCCTTTTCTGGATAACTTTAGAATATTTCTGCATTAATAGGGCAAGTGAATTCTTGTAAATATTAAAATCCATTTTAAAATCTTGTTCTCCTTGTATCTTTTGAAAGAGAACTGGGCATTTTATAGTCTGAACATGTTTTCTTTCTCTCCTTATTTTTAAACACAATTGGAATCAGCTTATGGCTACATTATGTTGAAAAGCTAGTTCCTGTATGATCACTAAAGTTAAGCAACCTTGAGCCTTGTCACTACTTAGATGGGTGACTATTTGGGAATACCAGGTGCTGTAAGCTTGGATGTGCAGGTGGTGTAGTGGATAATGGCTCGGAATTGTTAATCAGAGAACCAGTTCCAATTCCTGTTGGATTCATTGTATTCACTTTTGTGCAAATACATTTGAGTAAGATATGAATCCACCTCTTCTACCCACAGCTATAGGTCAATTAGTAAGATGTATAACTGAAACTATTATCTCAAAAAATAAAAAGAAATTGCATAGAAAATACTTAGATTTTTGGCATTAAATAACCCATAGAGTTGTTGATAAGCCACTACACCAAAACAATCAACTAACCCAATTGGACTCAAACAATCAAAACTGTTATCTTGGCAGTTAATGTACACTTTGAACTTTGAAATTTTTCTCTCCTCCAATTTTCTAAAACTTCAAAAAGCTAATTCTGTCTGAATTTCTGGGATGAGCAGTTATTATTTACACTCAAGATATTGTCCTCATCCTTTTGGCTCTACTGCCATCCAGCCTTCATTATATGCTTGTTGATTCAGGTAACCTTTGGGGAATTTCAAAATTTAATTCTTTTTTTTCAATCTACAGGTTGTAGATTATTCTCATTCCATGTCCGGGGATATCTTGTCTAGTTCTTATTTTTAATACTATTTGGTAATAAAATATTTTCAAATGTTAAAATATATAAATACTGCTCCACCTAGATCTTGTTTTCTAAACACATTCTAATTTTTAATAAAATTAGAATGTCAACAAATGTATGCACTGACATAATTAGTGTTTATATTTGCCTTTTGGTTTTTTGGGTTTTGTTTTTTTTAACCTATTCCAATTTTTTTTTCAGAACTCTATCAGACACAATCTTTCTTTGAATCGGTATTTTGTAAAAGTTCCTCGTTCTCAAGAAGAACCTGGCAAAGGCTCTTTCTGGAGGATTGATCCTGCCTCAGAAAGTAAACTCACAGCTCAGGCATTTAGAAGAAGGCGCCAAAGAGGAGTACCATGTTTCAGAACTCCTTATGGTGGGCTTTCCACCAGGTGAGTAACTTTCTGCTATCATCATCATCATCATCATCATATACTCTCTTTATCATACTTCTTGCTCTCTATTGTCCTTGTTTATTAACAATTAAATGAATTGGTTGTTTATTTTATCTTCTGCAAACACCATTTCCAGGACATTGTGATAGATACTTTTAAGAAATGCTAAATATTTGTTCTCTGAGAATTAAAATTATTTTATAAGCTTTGCTGACTCTCTCTCTCTCAAAATTGCTGACTCTCTCTCTCTCTCTCTCAAATTGCTGACTCTCTCTCTCAAATTGAAACTTGACTCTCTCTCTCAAATTCTCAAATTGCTGACTCTCTCTCTCTCTCTCAAATTGCTGACTCTCTCTCTCTCTCTCTCTCAAATTGCTGACTCTCTCTCTCTCTCTCTCTCAAATTGCTGACTCTCTCTCTCTCAAATTGCTGACTCTCTCTCTCTCAAATTGACTCTCTCTCTCTCAAATTTGACTCTCTTCTCTCTCTCTCTCAAATTGCTGACTCTCTCTCTCAAATTGCTGACTCTCTCTCTCTCAATTGACTGACTCTCTCTCTCTCAAATTGCTGACTCTCTCTCTCTCTCTCTCAAATTGCTGACTCTCTCTCTCTCTCTCAAATTGCTGACTCTCTCTCTCTCTCTCAAATTGCTGACTCTCTCTCTCTCTCTCTCTCTCTCTGCAGCATTGAAAAAAACTCTCTCTCTCTCAACAAACATCTCTCTCTCTCTCTCTCAAGTGCTAAACATCTGATAAAAATTGAAAATGCAGCAAAACAAACCCATTTAAAAGAAAATTAAATTGATAAATTGCTTTTTTAATGAATTGTCTCTTAGTAAATTTCAAGAAGAAATGATGAATTTGGACTTGTTTGTTTTAATGGCTTGCATCTCAGATTGAGGAATCAGAGAGCAGAGTTCAAATTCCAATCGAATCCATTACATTCACTGGTTAAGTAGCAAGACAAACCCGATTCTATAGCTTTGGATGGCAACTGGTCTACCGCAGAAAGAAATGGCAACTTACTGTGAAATGAAATCTGCCTCGTCAGTCATGTATCAAGATACATGATTGCCTAAGCATGTATCATGCATGGCACATAATTGACACACACACACACACACACATACACACCAGCTGTGCTGGATTCTTAATGTAAATGAATTCAACATGAATTGGTGAAATTTGTCAAAAAAAAAAAAATTAAGAAAATTCAGTCTGAAGAGGGATGGGCATGGTCAGTTTTCCTTGCCTTAGGCACACCACTGTTGCTATGGCAGCAGGGTTATGACCTTTTATGTTACAGTTTTTGATACATAAGGTTTATACTAAACCAGCAGATCTTGACTTACGGGAGCATGAGAATGTGAATATTAAACAAAAGCAAATTATATTCATTCCCTCCTCCTCCTCTTTTTTTTTTTTTTTTTTTTTTTTTTTTTTTTCTAGCAAAAAGTTAAAATTTTGTGTGTGCACATTACTACTACTTGTACTTGTTCTGGCATTGACCCAGGAATTTGCTGCATCTCAAAGGAAAGCTGGCCAAGTGTAGCAGATGTTTTATTCATTTGAATATGCAAATTCATAGGAGTTTCAGTAGGAATTTAGAATTGCAGGTAGCTCCCAGCTGCATTTATAAACACTTTAGGGTTGTGCAATCTGAATGATTCCTGGCTGGTTTTATTCTCCTAGACTGGTTGCAACACACTATTTTACCCACAGCTTGGAGGGGGAATATAATGGACTCAACTGGCATTTAAACTCTGCTCTCCAATTCTTCAATTCAAACTACTAACCATTCCTCAACATGCATATGTATTGGTGTGTACGGCAGTTCCCTCTGCCCAGGGGAACATAGGTTCAAATCCTGCTGAAAAGCATATATTTTTCTTTAGTAAGATTTCTTGAATATTCAGGCCAGTAGACAGAAATAAATATATTGTTTAATAAATAAATAGGGCATCTACTTGAAAATGAGTATCTACTAAAAATAACATTTAAAGTCTGTTTAATAAATAGGAATCCATTACTACTTTAGAAAATTGTTATATTTCTCATTTTCACATATATAACACATACATACAGACTCGCTCTCTTCTGCTAAAAAAGATGATTGAAACATTTGAATGATTCCAAAAGAAGCTACAATTAATTTTCTTCAATCTAATTAATATTACAATTGCATTTGTTAATCTGAATTTGTGGGTTGGTTTATTCCATCACTTTCTTTTTAGTTTTAAGTCATCTGATACGTGTTAGAATTTTAGAAATAATGGCAAAACAGTAACAGACTAAAACCAGGGGGAAGAGGGAGCCAGCATGGTTTTGTTGTGTGTATAATATACTTCCAAATGCGAGAAAGAACAAATTGATTAAAAATCCACAGTTCGAAGCATTTACTTTTTTTTTTTTTTTTTTTTTTTTTTTTTTTTTTTTTTTTTTGCTCAATACAAAGTAGACCACTCCTCCCCACTGAAAATTTTTTCCTTTTGATTTAATTTAAATTTGAACAAGGGAATGACTCCTATCCAAAATATAGAAGAAAGCCAGAAGATGGTCACATCAGCAGAAAATCAAAATGAGACAATATGGACATCAAGTTGAGTCAGTGGATATTACCTTAGAATACATATTTGTTGCGACAATTCAACTGTCATATCAATGTTGAAACTGCTCATCAATTCATTCAAATACATATCAAAGGGGTCAAATCCAGCTGTTTTTGCACAAAACTGAAAATTTCCTCTTTGACTTGATTTAAATTTGAACAAGGGAATGACTTCTATCCAAAATATAGAAAGAGAAAGCCAGAAGATGGAGGTCACATCGGCAAGGTCATTGAGTAATATTGAAATGCATCCATTTTTCTCCTCAAATCATAACAATGATTTAAAATCATTTTCTTACAAAAAAAAAAGTGACACGCTGCAAGGCCTGGGTAATTTGGCTAGTATTATATAGGGCTCAATGCAAACAGACTTAAAATCCTGGAAGCCGTTGTAATACAAAAGAAGCAGACAAATTTTAAACAGGATATCTTTCTCCATAAGAGATCATATATGAAACCATTTTAAATTTTTTTTTTATTGATGAGGAAACTATACATAAAGTAAGATTCAGTTTTGTAGGAATCATAGGAAATTTGAAACATGAATTCTTGTTCAGAATGAAATGCTATGAATTGTTGAATTATTGAATTATTAAAGTTACTCTCCCATGGTTTTTCTGTTTTATCCTAATACTCAAGGAATGTAGTCAATGTTTAAAGCCTGAACTTTGGTCATATAAAATGATTGCAGTCTATAATTGGTTTCACCAGATTTAAATAATCAACTCTTGTCAAAAAAATAAAAATAAATTTGAACAGTAACAACTGAGGACTGCTGGTGTGGTAGATAGCTTAGTATTAAATACTTCTTTTTTTTTTTTTTTTTCCAGGGAAATTTCAATTCCATAATTACATTTGGGAAAGTAAATATGATTGCTGATGAAAAAAGAAAATATATATTAAATATATTTGTTTAAACGTTTTTCTGATTACACTTCTTATGAAATATCTTGAAGAGCTTATTTTAGATTTCAAACCTATCATTGCTTAAAATCGTTAAGTTTTGTACAATTTTTTTCTTTTTTCTTCTGCTAATTATAAATTCATATTCCTTTTAAGTCTATTTTACTTCCAGTCAGAAATTCTTTCCTTCATATTAAATTATTTTAAAGTTTCTTTTGTGGATATTTTAGACTTCTTTTTCTTTTTCTTTTTTTTTTTTTTTTTTTTTTTTTTTTTTTTTCAAGAGACCTCTCTTGTATGTATCTTGATAAAATTGCTTTTTGAAATTTCCTCCTCCCTTCCCACCTCATTTTGTGTGCATGTATGTCCAAATGACAATACATTTGAATCTTAAACATGGAATTCACCCCAAATATTTTGGGCTCATTAATGAAAGTGATCCTGTGTTGTTAAAAATGAAATTCACAGGTCTTAACCAAAATTTTGATTGATAAAGGGATGGACAGTGGATGAGGCTTGTTGTTTGGGCATATTCCAAAACTATTTTGCACATCCTAACAATATTGGAGTTATTGACTAAATTGTTCAACTTGTATTGTTTTACTAAATTCTACTGTGAAGGATGTCAATTGAATGAAGTAAGGGTGACATTTTGAAGTAGGGATGCTTTTTTTCTAAGGCATGTTTAATAGTTATAAATGTTACTGATATATTTATACCATAGGGAAATTTGGACAGGATATTAACATTTTTCCTGGTATAAATATATCTACATATTTCCTTCCTTTCTTTGTTTTCCTCTTTCTTTCTCCCCCCCCCACACACACACATTGAAATAATTGCATTAAATTTTAATGTTTCTTACTGTATTTCTTGACTTGTTTTGATATGAAATAATCATTAAAAATAGTTCTGATTAGATGACACACTTATAAGTGACTTAAATGATTGTGTGCTAGATTTGATTCTAACATTTCCTTTACAAAGATTTTCATACTGTCTTTTGTGCATAAGAATTAAAAATTACTCATTTTTCCACAAATGTTTGTTAGCCTTGTTTTGTATACTCTATTTCTATCTTTGTACACTTTATGTTGACTTTTTAAGCAATTCTTGAATAAGTAACAATTGTATCCTTATTTTTATATATATATATATATATATATATATATATATATATATATAAATGGATTAATTCCAATATATTGTTATTTTTAATTTTTGTTTAAATGTTATTTTTTGATGGATACTAATATTCAAGTAGAAGCTCTGTCTTTTAATTAAACAGTATTTTTTATCCAACTACATTTATCAGCCTTGAATATTCAAGAAATCTTGTCAGAAAAATATGCATCCATCTGGCATCATTTGAACCCACATCCACTATAGGGAACCATCATTGGATCTGACGTGCTTGAAAGCTCAGTCACATAGGGCCTAAAGAAACGGAGCTTCTACTCGAATATGAGTATCCATTAAAAATAACGTGTGTGTGTGTGAAATGTCTCAAAAGGGAGAAGAAAATACTGTGTAGCTTTTGAATGTTATCCTTCTCTAAGTTGACAATGATGATTAAATCTAATTTCAAGATGTTTCTTCTCTTAATTTCAGCATGTATATATTAATAGGAATTCCTTGATTTTGTAAAACTCTACTGGGCACAATTTGCAGTTGGTTAATGAGAGCCATTCAAACTGTATTTACCCGTTCAGCACACACACACACCCGGCTGAATTTCTAAATCCATCTGAGCTTTTCTTTGCCTTCTCGAATTAAGACTTCACATAGAGTATGTAAACAGGAAATATTTATTGATATGGGTTTATTTGATATTTAACTTGATTCATAGGTAAGCGTTTTCATCTTTAGAACACTATATTCATTGATCAAGCAATTCTAATGAATCTGGAACAAGTAAAATTCTTAGGGATTCAAAGATTTTATTCCTCAATTGCACTCTTGATATGGTAGTTATAACCCCCCCCTTTTATACAACTAAGACCAAATCTACCTTGAGTAACTCTCATGTATTGTATTCGATGAAATTTAGTGCTATCCAGCTAAATGCAATATGCTTGATGCCTCCACCACCAAAAAAAAAAATAAAAGCAGATTGAATTTTTAAGGTTTGTATTTGTATCAAAACAGATATTAATCTTTAATCAATAGTTTTGTTACTGTTAATTTTTTTTTTTTTCTTTCTTTGCAGGTCAGCCCCAGCCTCTCCAAGTCATATAAGTGGGGTGTTTACTCCTGAAAGTCTGTCTCGGGACAGTAGTCCTATCCCAGAGGCAGCCCCAGAAACAGAAGTTGTCAGCACTGCAATTGTCAGCAACAACATGACGACTACCACCACCACTAACAACAATAACACTCAACATCAGGCCACCAATCGCATCGCTTCAGAGTTACGTGTAAGCCAGTCAGCACCTGGATCACCGTCAGGTACCTACTTGAGATAAATATATCTGTTAAACTCTTGCACATCTCACCTGCTTGTTGGCAAAACTCTTGCTTTCACTGAAACATTCCATTTTTTTTTTTTTTTTTTTTTAATTTAGACCAAACCAAAATATTCTTTTTTATTTTTAAAATTTACATTAAAAAGGAAAAAGAAAATCCCAACCCTGATTGTTGCATGTTGGCTGTTGATGTAATGTCTCCTCTTTCCCTGTTTGAAATTTAAAAAAAAAAAAATGTAAATTTGACATGTGTATTTTGTAGCTGAACTGAAATTAGTTTCTTTAATTAAGAATATACATTCAAATCATTTTTTTTTCTTTGCTTTGCTAAATCCTTTACTTTTGCTACATTTTTTTTTATTGCTTGTCGCACAATTTGCTTTAAAATGACTTACATGGTTGTATTTGAGATATTGGCAATTTTTAGTATTTTTCCATTTAAAATGTTATCACATCAGATTTTCTGACCATCTTCAGGTAAATGTAACATCTGCATTATATACAGCTAGTATCCAGAAACATTTAAAAGCATTTTCTTAAAGGATCAGATGTATTAAATTGTTTCTGGTGAGGAAAAAAAATTTTTATGTAACAAATGGCAATACTCTCTCTCTCTTCCCCCCCCAATTCATCAGTCTTAGTTTATTAAGTATTAGTTGATGTGAGCTAAGGGTATACGTTTTCATTTTAAGTTTTTATGTATCTACTCTTTCTTTTTTTTTTTTTTTTTTTTTTTTTTTTTTTTTCATCTCCCCCCTTCTATTTTTCTCTTTAGCAACACCCTTCATCTAGACTCTTATAAATTTGTTGTAATCAGCCACTATCTCAGTATTTCATCCCCACTTTGTTAATAAGTCTGTCAATATTAAATTTCTGCTACTTTTTGTGCTCTTATTTGATTTTTGAACACCAATTTTTTTTACCTCTGGACACACTTTAAATTGGTTTCTTGTTAAAGGAAAATTCTTGTCAAAGGCTGATAAATTATTTTTATCTTCATTCTCTAACTCAAAATGATCATGTCTTTATTTTCTCTTTTCTCTCTCCAGTTTTAAGTTAATTTTTAAATTTTCTTTAAGTTTCATTTAAAGCATTTATCAGTGGAGCCAACGTGGCCAAAATATTAACCATTTACCCCTCCTCCTCCTGCTAAATTTGAGCTTTATCTAAATAAACCTGAAATAAAACAACTATAATGTGCTGATGTTTTCTGTTTATTTATTTAAAAAACAGGGTATTTAACAAATATTAACATTTTATTTTTGAAGGTTTCAATAAAATTTTGCTCAACTATGTAGATTTTTGAAGAATTTTAATTTAAAGATTTTGCTTTTGAAATAATTTTTCCTATCATAAAAGCTTTCAAATTTTATTTCTTGTTATACTTTTGATAAATGTTTTTAAAAAAAAAAAAAATGACTGAATCTTCAAAACCAAAGCAATAACAATGAACTCATTGAAAATATGAGAAAAACCAAAGATCTACACTGGAATCAATCGGTGGTCTCCTATAACAATTCTTATAAAACTATTTTAATTTTGATGCCAACAGATTCAATATACAGTCATAATTCATCCATTTTTAAATTTGATATGTTAAATAGTGATATCTCTTTAGTTTCAAATTTTATTTTGTTCAAATGTAAAATGTTATATCACAAATAAGTCACCTTAATAGAATATTTTATCCATCCCTTTTTTTAAAAAAAAAAAAAAAAAAAATTAAAAATGCACTAAAAATGAGATCGGCTTAATGTTACAGTTGGGCTTTGTCTTGTGTTGTTTTTTTGTTTTTCTGAGGTCCAAGGAAGTAAAAATAGTTTTAACTACTAATAAAATTTCCTTGTTCTAAAAACCTTATTCTTTTGTCTGCTTTAATGTTTTGTTAAAATTAATTTCAAGTTTAGATTTATAGATTTTATGTTAATGGCTAAATGTCTACATGTTGAAATTTAAAAGATGTATTTGACTTTTTTCTTTTTTCTTTTCTTTTCTTTTTTTTTTTCCTAACAAAACAATTTGTTGTGCACAAAGACATTTAAGATGATTCTCAGTTGTGATTTATTTGTCTGCCAATCATTTCCTCTCAATCTCCTCGGCAAAAAGATTGGCTCATTCATTTTCTATTTCTGTACAAAATTCTCATAAAATTATGAAAGCTTTCTTATCATTTATATCCTTTTACAAATATTTTAAACACTTGTCTGCATTTTTAGATGATGATGGTGGCCGGGGGGGGGTACATTTATGCAGATAAGTAAAAATTTCTGATATCTGGAATTATAAAATGTGGAACAGGTGTCCTTCACATTGTTAATGATTTAAAAAGAAGAAAAATCCGATGAGACCCTAAACTATCAATTACATAGTCTTTTTTTCTTTCTTCCTCCTTTTTTTTTTTTTTTTTTTTTTTTTTTTTAATTTAAAGAATGTTAGGATAGAAACCCATTTGTCCTGTTCCTCTAGTTCTTTTCATTGTTTATAAATATTTTTCTCTAAGGATTACTTCTGGATCATGTGGACTAGGATGCTTTAATAAAATAATCTCCTTGTTACAATGGGAAGTATTTATATCCCTGATAAACAAATGGGTAGGAAGGTGATAAATTGAAGTAGTCACAACTGGGTATTTTATTAGCCCACATCCCCCCCACACACACACACACTTACTATTAGATTTCATATCCGTATCTTCTCTCTGTATTTTTGAGTTTTTCTAATTTCTACTATTTCTTATAATTTATATAAATTAGTAAGAGATAACTTGCTACCCATAATGCACCATTGACCAGCATATATAAATAGTTGAGTCAAAACACAACACATGGCCTGAAGATTGCATTTAGGCATGGAACACTGTCACTGTTTCCTGACCTCAATTCAGTTTTAAATTTGCAAACATTCTATCCCAATATTGAGCACTTTCATCCATACATATAGCATACCTTAAAACTGTATTTTTCTTAGGTACTTCCAATAATTCAGTATACTTAATGTTTAAATGTCTTTTCATAAATGAAAAATCTTTTTCAAAACTTTTATTTTAGCTTTAATTGAAAGCTACAGAATTAAATTTATTTAATTTCCAATAAGCAAAATACTCTGTAGTGTATTTCAAACAGAAATTCTCTTGGTTGGTTCATTTTTGGGAGCTAAAAATAGCTGATTAGTGCCCCTTTTTTAGCAATCATTAAAAAATCTTCCAAAAATAAAATATACTTTCCTGAAACTTTATTTGAGGAATATTAGCTGATTTAAAGTATAATTAATCTGATTTGAAACCAATATTTTTTACTTTAAGTTGAGAATAAGAGAAATGGATTTTTAAAACGAGTGTCATTAAGTCCTTGTCAAAACCTCATAAATCACTTGAGTGGTTTATAAGATTTATTTGACACTTTTATTCTTATTGTTCTATAGAGAAACCTTATCTGTTAAAACATAATTTAAGAAAATAAGATATTTAAGTGCGCAGTAATCTTAAAAATGTTGGAAGTTTTCTTCATAATTAATTTTAAGACTGTTGCTTTAAATTTACTATCATGATTGATCTTATGTTCTGATAATATTGTGTATGGTCACTCATACTTTCAAAATCAACAAGTTTGTATGCATAAAAATGAAAACAATTAAAAATTATTTTAAAGATATATGGACTTTATAATTTATAATAAGCTTTTTAATTTTCACTTAGTAAATATGGTCTTCACTTAATCACCTAACAAGTTCAGTGCTTGGAAGAATTTAAAAAACATTTTTGAAACTTTATAAATTATAATTTTAAAAAAAAGAAAATTCTTGTAAAAATTCATTATTCATTGAAAAAAATTCTTTTTTCAGACTGTAATGTCCTTAATTACTTTTATAAATGATATATTTTAAAAACTTAAAAGCTTATCTAATTGAATGATTTTATTGTAGATTTTAGGGAATTTAGTAATAGTTTGGGGTGGGGGTGATTTACATTGTCCAAAGACTCCTGCATTTAACTAATAAAACAAATTTAGAAATTTCATGAAATTAAGTAGTTGGGTGTAACAGATATATATATATATATATATATATATATATATATATATATACACACACACACACCAAGGTTTTAAAATTATTTGATTTCTGCAAGAATTTCCAAATTAATGTTCTTTTACCAGAAAAGAAGGCATGAAAATGTCCATTATCAGCTCTGTTACATCAATGAGGGATAAAAAAAAAAGATTTTTAGACCAAATTTCAAACATGCTAGAAAGGAGTTTTTAATTAAATACTTTGGTCTTTCCTCTTAATGATAACATAAACATTTAGATAAAACTTTGTTTGGGGCCTCTTTTTCATTTTTTGCGAAAAGTGGAGGTACCTTAATTTTATCATGTGTGTAATATATATATATATATATATATATATAGCCATCCACAGACAGACTTTTGCTGAATCACAGCTCATCAGTGTGGCTAGACGTCCAGTTGCCTCTAGCTAGGATTGAAACCCAGCTGAATTGATGTCAGTCGGAGATGTTACCTGCTAATTTTTAACAAAATCCGTTCATACTTGTGAATAACCTTCTGTGTATTGATGTTAAAGGATGAGAGAAATGTACTATAGCTGTTTAAATTTCTTTTTCATTTTCCAAGTACTTTCGATCTTTTCCCAAGATCATCTTCAGGGGTGCAAGTAATACAAAACTATATGTCATTCATTAATATAAGTATTTATACAAAGTTGTGCATGTTATCCATCACTGTAATTTTTCATTATGCTTTTAAATACAAAATGTTTGACAATGTGCTTTAGTGTTCATTAGAATGTGAAAAAAATTTATCCATTATGGATTTTTTTCTCTCTCTAGGTTATAATGTCCTTGTCACACATGCATTAAAGTGTGAAAAAAAAAAAACTATTCCTTTACAGGCATTTCAGAACATTATTGCAGTATTCAATCAGACATGCCTAAAAGAGAATTTGCTGCCTAAATACACAAATATA